GGTAAAAGTATCCAGTATTTCAGAAGAAAAAGGCACAAATGAAAGAATTAGAAAATAATTAACTTAAAATGTTTAAAATATTGCACACAGATCACAAAATAACAATGTAGCATGATAGTTGAAATGTCGTACAGTTTTAAACAAAAAAAATTACATCTGATTAGCATTACATGCAGTTAGACACTTTCTCAAACCATAAGACAACATAAAAACAGGATTTAACAATTACAGCACTTAAATGACTATTAAAGGCAAATGCAAACATATATAATGAAATATAATGCAAATAAAGTGTATTACTCTTGAATATTATTAAATAAGATGTTAATATGTTTCACAATGTGAATTCAGATGGTGTGCTTATCACTGCCAACTTGCTTCCTCAAAAATAGCCAGGTTAGTGTATGTGTGTGTGTGTGTGTGTGTGTTGTGTGGTGTGTGTGCGCCTGTGTGTGCGTGTGTGAGACTTGCATACTAAAAAGGAAGCAAGTCAGTGTCGGTATGACGAACTGTTGCTAAGCAGCGGTGGTTGCTAGGTGGTGGAGGGGGAAGGGGAGACAGGTTTGCAGTTAGTGATGGAATCTGAGGGCTTACCTCTATGTGCACACGTGTGTGTGTGTGTGGTGTTGTGTGTGGTGTGTGTGTGTGTTCCCCCTTGATTTATATGTTTATAATTATTGATATCTGCGTGTGGGGGGTGAAATGCAGTTTGTATCCTCACAATATTAGTCTGCCCATTTTGGAAGGTATTTCAATTATTTCACAACCAAGCACCCACTATTGGAGAATAATAAAGATTGTTTAATCCCATTTCAACTTCAAAAGCAATGTCTGATGTGTAAAGGCCCCGGTGTTCGGTGAGCCTCAGAGAGCTCCAAGGTGGAAATTTTCTTTTTAAAATACTGTAATAAATTAAAAACAGGCCAAAAAATTGCTGTCTAGCGGTGTCAGATTTCAACAATTGAAAGAATGGATTGCATTTATTTTTTGTCTTCTGTGTTGCAATTCCATTCCAAGGAAAAGCGCCAGAATTGCTGGCAGAGGAACACACGAGTTGAAACCACACACCTCCGTCGGCTTTCCCCAGGACAATTACTGTAATTTTATATTTTCGGCAGCAGGGGAAAGCCTTCCCCGTTTGCCGCCCTCCCTCTGTGTGTGTGTGTGTTTTCACATATTTAATTTTTTTTAAGCTTTTCCTGCAACACTACTAGAACCGCCATATTTTTGGCCTCCCAAGTTTGCAGTTTTTTGTGCCCCCCCCCCCCGTCCCAAACTTATCAGCAGGTACATTACTGATGACATACTTGTGGCAATCCCTAGCCGTTGTCGCTTCGTGTCAGATCTGGTCTGTCCAGTCGGGTGAAGAAGATTGGTGGGGGGGTGGCAAAGGGCGAGCACAGCAGCCATTTGTACTCCAAGGTCCTGCGATGGAGGGTCGCAAAACCCCCAATCGTAGTGCTTTAACAGGTACATGCCCACGCTTCCTGGCAAGCAAAACACAAGAGAATGTTTCCTGAATTGTTGTAAAATCAGATCTATGCAGCAATCCGACATAAACGAAACTCCACTTTCTGTCCTGACGCATGATATTTTAAAGTAACTCAGAGGGGGGTGGTCAAATGTTTCTTCCAGCAGTGCTAAAACAAAAGTTAAACTAGAAGGCAATTTGTCAGAGCATAAGCCGCCCGCCCCAACACTGAATAAGTCTCCAACTTGTAAAGCTACAAAGCCCTCCCACACAAATCTGTAATGTTTATTGTATGTTGATTTCTATATTTGAAAAAGCCAACGCAACACCAGCTCACAGCCCAACGTTGAAAGGAAATTAGGATCTTTGGAGCGTGGTTGACCCGGGTAAAAATGACTCAAAATATAAAACCACAAAGTATAATGCGATATAAAATATATTTGATTTGTAATAAATAA